GGGGCGGGGGGTTGTGAGGGCGGCGGGCACTTGGTGAGTCTCTGCCGAAGGGTTCTGTGCAGCGGGATGGACGCGTCTGCTTCGTGCTCAGCGCTGTGCCTGCTTTCAGAACAGGAGCCCAGTTACCTGTTGGCTGTGGTCTCTCTTGAATTTATTTGCCAGCGATCCTGAAGTCCTTACTCCGAATAAACGTTTTCATTTGGGTTTTGGCTGGTCTGTTAGCAGTGTGCTTCTGTCGTGTCTCCTCTGCCGTGATACAAGTGCAAAGAACAGCTGCTGTGTTACCCTGAGAGCGCGTAAGCCTGAACGTCAGCCCCGAGTCTGTGTCTCTGGTAGGACTCTGTGAATGTTGTGGGTTGCCTTTCCTGGTTCTGAACCTTCTTCTGTGCTTCTGGGGCTTTGTGGGACCTGCAGTCACCAGAGGGACTCACTTAAGGCTTCATGAAATCTCCTGGTAGGCTTTTTGGAGCTCCAGGCTTGATTTGCCTTTGGCCTGTTAGTTTGTACCCCTCCAAATTTGAAGGAAGAATTGCAAAAGATTCTATGTGAACGAGGAGACACAGTTTTACTTACAGAAGTGATCTCAGAACTTTGTTGCTGGAAGTTAGGTTCCAAAGTGCTTTTTGGAAACCAGAATCAAGCTGTGTAGAAAGTAGAGTTTGCTGCCAGTATGGAATTGGTTCTCCCTCCCTTTCCCAAATGCTTGGAGGAAGAGTAACGGGTGATGTTCATTAGTGTTATGTGCTGTAGATCTTCATATCCTACTATGTTAACTTGTATCCCAGAATCTATCTTGGTTATATAGGAAAGGAGAAGTCAATTTTGTATAATTTATGACAGCTCTCTTTTGTACAATTTTGGGCTGAGATTCAGGGGAGAATGTATTTAACTAAAAGCAAACTGTTTCAGGTAGGAAGCTCAGGGAAGAGCAAGGCTCTCTTCTAGCAGTTTCTCATTTCAGAAACCTACAGCTGCAGCCTTGGCTGGATGGGGTTCTGTGGTTCAGGTTGATCCCAGCAGTGATGAGCAGGTTTTGTACCCTGCACACTGGCAGACCTTGCACTTAGCGTCTCCTCAAGGCAATGATGTTTCTCTTTTTTAGCAAAGCAGCCAGTTTACTGTAGGTTGCTCTGAATGTTTTGCTGATGACTTTTAATGTATTTTCAGAGCCATGGAGGACATGGAAAATAATACCACTGTCTTCTCCACCCTGAGATCCCTCAACAACTTTATTTCCCAGCGCATGGAGGGGGTGTCTGGGCTGGCTACACCGGGATCCTCTCAAAGCTCCTTACAGATTCAGTACCAGCAGAGGGTGCAGGTGAGGTGTCCTCAGCTTGGTCCTGCGGTATCACTTCTGTGTGGTTGTAGACTCCTTTGGATTCCAGGAATCGGGATTGATTTCATTAAGATCTGCCATTCTTTCAGAAATTAATATTCACGCAAGATCAATAGTGGAAGCTTGTTTTTTTGTGAATACTGTAGAAACTTAACTTTTTTTTAATGTGTCAGGCATATTTATTTCTGTTCTGTAAAAACTTAAGAAAGGTCTTTTTGATTTTCTTCCCTGCTTATTATATCTGTATACCAGCTCAGGAAATTAAATTGTAAGTTGTTTTCATATTGCTGAACAAAGGAGCTTTATATCTGTTAATATTTTTCTAGTAAGTCATTTGTTACCTTTTTTCACACTGTTCCTTAAAGTTTCTTTGCCTGGATACTACAGGAGACTCACGTGGTGCTCTGGCTGTGATGTACTAACCAGTTGTGCTTTCTTGTCCCCTTCTGCTTGTATCCACATAGTGGGGTTTTTTTTTTTACTTACTCCTTTCTCATTGTAAACATCGTGTTTGGGATTGTTTACAGATTTATCCAATTTTAACTGCTTTGAATCTCCATACTGAAAAGTGTCTGTGAAAGCATCAGCCCAACAGGGCTTATACTTATAAAGCACGGAGTAAATTGACATCTTGGATCATAAGAACTGTTCATTAGGCTGTTTATTATTTGTTCTATATCATAATATAATTTCTATTTTCAGTATAAAATAAGCTGGCTTTCTTTTTAATGTAAATCTGCTTTGCATTTGGAATGTTGACAAAAATTTATGCATTTTCTGTCTGTGGTACATCTCTGGTTACAGAAATGGTTAGAGGAGGCTCTGTGGTTAGAGAGACTTCATTAGCTGTGTGTTGAATGTGCATTGCTCAGATGTGAGGTATTCTATTAATATTGTCTATTCTCTAAGGTAATTTGAATGAAAAAAATTAAGTGTAATGTTGTAGCAGCCTGTAGAAAACCATGTTGCTCAGCAGTTAAATTTCATGGCTAGCATGATCTCAGCTTCTTGGTTAGCTGCTGTTGCTTTTATGAGGCTGGGGGAGTTTGTAATTAACCTTTTTTTTAGATAGAGAAGTAAATTTTGTCAGAGTACCTCTAGAGATTGAATGAGAAATTCTGAATGAAGAACTTGAAACTCACTTATTTCTAACCAGATTTGATTTGATGTGGGTTTCTGAGTGTGTTGGTCAACTCTTGGTTTCCACACCTGCAACTGATGTGAGAAGTACCACAAACATGATGATAGTTCCTTTGTAATTTGTAAAATGGCATGCAAGTCTGTCTGAATAGCGCAGGGTGGGAGATAGCGATGGTATCTCAGTGCTGTTAATGGTGTAATGTTCCTTTTCACACATGAACTGGCCAGTTGGAAGAACAAGCTGGGCAGATCCACTCCAAATCCCAGCTCCTGCAGGTGGAACGAGAAAAGATGCAGATGGAGCTTAGCCACAAACGAGCTCGCATCGAGCTAGAGAAGGCGGCTAATACCAACGCCAGAAACTATGAGGTAGGTGCGACAGTTGCAGCTGCCTTGATATCATCAGCCTGAGTCAGAGCATACGCAGTGCATCTGTGTTGGTGTTTTAGTTTGGATCAGGGCTGTGCTCCTGAGTTCTCAGGTGCTGTGCTTTGGTTTGCAGCAGAGTGTCTCAGAATGTCTATAGTTGACTTTTTTGGCTGAAACTAAACTGAAAGTTGCAGTCCAGGAGCAAGCCTGGTATTCTCCAGCTGTTAGTGGACGCTCTGTCTTCAGAGCAAGACTGCGGCGAATCTGTAGTAAATCATAGAATCATAGAATGGTTTGGGTTGGAAGGGACCTTAAAGCTCATCCAGTTCCAACCCCCCTGCCAGCAGCAGAGACACCTTCCACTAGACCAGGTTGCTCAAAGCCTCATCCAGCCTGGCCTTGAACACTTCCAGGGAGGGGGCATCCACAACTTCCTTGGGCAACCTGTTCCAGTGTCTGACCACCCTCACAGTGAAGAACTTCTTCCTAATATCTCATCTAAACCTCCCCTCTTTCAGTTTAAACCCATTTCCCCTTGTTCTGTCATTAACTGCCCTTATGAAAAGTCCCTCCCCAGCTTTCTTGTAGCCCCTTCAGGTACTGGGAGGCCGCTATAAGATCTCCCCGGAGCCTTCTCTTTTTCCAGGCTGAACAGCCCCAACTCTCTCAGCCTGTCCTCATAGGAGAGGTGCTCCAGCCCTCGGATCATCCTGGTGGCCTCCTCTGGACTTGTTCTGGGATGCAATTACTGCGTTTGCATTTACTGCAGATGTGGTGGTGCTGTGGGTGTCAAGTTCCCAGCACCGACTGTTTTGCTCTACAGATTCCCTTGCAGTGTGTTGCACTAACTTGCTCATGCGCACGAGAACGTGAACGTCAGAGCCTTGTTGGGTTGGCAAACTGATGATCTCATCACTAGATTCTGTTAGCTTAGCACTGAAGTTGTCATGAGTAGCAATAACAAAAGGGATTTGTTTTTTTTGTTTCTCCCAGAAGTATTTAAGCATTTTTCTCCCAGATGAATTTAAACTTCTCCTGGCACAACTGCAAGCATTCAGTTTGTGTGACTGTAATTAATTGGAATGACAGCAGTGCCAGCCCTGCACTGTCACACAGAGGGCTTGCACTGATAAAACAGTGAGCCTCACTCAGGGACTAATAGCTTTTATTGATTTCTGGTTTTATGCCCCTATATGTTTGCTTAACCACGTTACTGAAATAAGTAGTACATCTGTGTGTTTTGTTGGATAATAAAGGTCTTGTATATGGCTGATTCTTTAAAAAGAAATCTTTAAAAAATAATAAGCACGTTTTGTTGTATTTTACAAGGGTGCTGGGTGACAGATTTAGTGTGTAGTTGTGAAAAAGCGAGTCAGTGACTAAATTCCTTGTTCCTCTGAAGTCAGATGATGTGGGATTAAACCATGAAGAGTTCAAACTGGAATGTAGCTGAGTCAGTCACAGAAACCCTTGAAATACTGTTACAAAAAAAGGCAGCAGCACTAATCCAGCCCTGTGCTAAATACCCTGCTCAGATTCTGTGTTTTTTTGAGTCGTGTGTATAAAGGTTTTAGGAACCTCACATTGCTTTGCATAATCCTTGCTTACTATGTAAATCCATGTCTCGATTTGCTTTGATTGAAAAAGCAATTTACTACCCATTTTTTTCCAGTAGGTGTTAATCAATTTGTGGTAGGAATAAACTGAAATGTTGTATGAAAGTTTGTCACAGTGCAAAAATATTTATTTTATTAATTGATAACAATGTAATGTGCATTTAAACCAGTTTTCTATTAAATAGCCTCATACAATTTCCAGAAGTTGCAGAGGGAAGTTTGTCTTATTAAACCAACTATTGAGATCTGAGTTTCTGAAAGTCAATTTGCTATGCATGGGTCAGCTTTAAATTGGAGCATCAGATGTTTTCATCTTTGATCTGCTGGAGAGTGAGCAGTGGAGTCTGTGAGGTCATGTCTGCATTCTCATTCATGTCTTAGTCTAAGAGATTTAGATGACTGTCTTTTAATTTTCTAACTCCATTGTCCTACATTGTCCTGGGTAGTTCCTTGACATTGAGTTGCTGCTGGTAAGACTTTTGCCCTTGCTGATGTAAAAGTTAAAGCTGTGGTCTGAGTAATGTTGCTTCATGATGATGCCTGGGTGACCACAGTGCTGAGGAGTGGACACAGGAGAAACAAAACCGGCTTTGCCTCTGTCCTACTTTCTTCTTTATGCCTTTTTGCCTTTTTTTTTTTTTCCTCCAAGCGAGAGGCTGACCGTAACCAGGAGCTGCTCACACGCATAAAGCAGTACCAGGAAAGGGAAACAGAAGCTGAAAATAAACTGAAAGAACAAATGGAGATGAACAAATCCTATAAGAAGAGCATGGAGACAATGAGTAAGAAGCTGCAAGAGAAGGAGAGCAAATTAGCTGAAGCTAATGAAGTAAGAACAGAGTAAATTTTTAATCCGTTCATAGCTTCAAGTGACTTTGCAGTTCTTGTGAATTGAAAATGCCCTTTCTGATTTAAAAAAAAAGACATAAAATTGGAATCACTGTGTTCATCATCTGGAAATTTATAAACCCTAGTGATGTGTGTCTTTGCTGTCAAAGTTCAGAACCTAACCAAGACCAGACACAAGAAGCAAGCGGGTCTGAAGATGTTGCTGTGTTAATTAACAATGAGAAGAGATTTCTTAGACATGTTGATATGGAGAAGGAGGGGAAAAAAAGTGCAAGGCAACATATAGCATCTAGGTTTAGAACTCAGGTTACATGGCATTGAGTAAAGAAAGGGGAAATGGTGGAGGAGATAAGATGAGAGGGTGTTCAGGGAAGTAAGGGGAACTGTAGAGTGGATGAGGCCAAAGTTATGTATAAGGTGTGTCTTCCAAAAGTGTCTTAAATGTCTGTGTGTTCCACTGTAGAATGAAGGCTTGGACAACAAGTTCAGTTCTTCTGGTTGCAGAGATCTTCTCAACCTTCTCAGATTTCATTATAGTTAAATTCAGCTAGATCATTTACAACTTTTCTCTTTCATTTGGTTTCCTGCACCAGTTGTGGATCAACAACCACTAAGTCCTTAAGCCTTCCTCCTGCCTGGGTGTCACTGGAAATGTATCTATACGATAAAACAGATTTAACCTGCCAGTTATCAGTGCTTAAAAACAGGTAGACAGTGAATAGCACATGAGAGAAACTAAACCCACGGGTGAAATGTGTGCAGCAGTGCTAGTTCTGAGTTCTTTCTATTTCCATATCCATCAGTATCAAGGTGAGAACTCTACATGTCTCTGTCTAGAAAGGACCCCACGTATGTATTGTTTTGAGTTTTTTCTCTCCTCTGTTAAAGGGAGCTGAGCACTGGCTACTTGAAACAAGCCTGTGAGTTTTTATTTAGAGTTAAGTTATTTAGAACAAAGTTAAAAACCACTGGCTTCTACTTTTCGGAAAGCACGATACTTTAGGTATTTGGTTGAGGCAACCCAGATGTTTTCAGTTTTGAAACCCAGACAAAATATATTTGAAATGGTTGTGGGCTCATTTTTTTACTTTTTTAATATATATATATATATACACACACACACACACACACACACACACACATTACTATTGCAGAAATATCTAGCTTTGAAGCTTGATATTTTTCGTGCTGTTTTGAGGTCACCCACTTAATAGGTAATGGAAATGACAATTTGGGTGACAGATGAAAGCAACTAAATTATTTTCTCTTGCCTTTGTTTTTGAGGTGAATTAGCAGGTCTGAAGGTTTGCAAGAGTTTGGGTTTGTTGCTAGATTCAGTGGTTGTACTTTTTAGTCGGATATGATTTCTATCTATCGCCATCGGCAATGTCCGGCTTGAAGACTCATAGCCTTGTGTGTTTATTCTTTCTTTCCATTAATTCAGACAATCACTGTATTAAAAGGGAAAATATCAGAGCTGCAATGGAATATAATGAATCAAGAGATGCAGATGACAAGTCAAGACTCTCAGAAGCAGGAGCTGATGGAACAGCTGGATGTTCAACATAAGTAAGCAGGGGATGAATGACTGTAGGGAGAAAAAGGCAAACAAAACTTCAGTCTTCTGCAGCTGTCGTCACTTAGAAAACTTTCAGCAGCATTTGATTTCTGTTCTTCAAAGGGGTTCTTTGATCTGGATGTGCAGGTTATAACCGTTGTTTGAAACTAGCTCTGAGGTGCAATTTAATTGTACCTTGAGGAAAAAAAAACTACTTGAGCTTAAAAATATCAGTGATGTCTCATGTTCATGGTGGAGAGTTAACAGAAGGTATGTGGGTGGTAAAGGCTAATCTGAACTTTATAGACTGAACAGAACAAAAATACCAAGCCTTAAATCATAGCTGAGGGGTAGTTGAAAGATATGAGTGTGTTTTTCCTTGCTTACTAAGTTCAGCTCTTCAATGTCAAAGGTGCTGCTTATTTACAGTGAGTGTATATTTGTTGGTTAAGGTGGCTTCATTTTTGTAGATTTCTCAAGGTGCATCTTTTAATTAAAATGAGTATTTTTGTCTCTAAATTATAGGGAGATGGTATGAGTGTGAGTCTGTCTGAGAGACATCTTCTATAACAGTACCATATACCTGTTTAGTGGTGTTGAAAATGTTTGTCAGAGATGTTTCTGCATGTAGATTGTTTTTGGTGTGTGATTTCTGGGTGCTAAATGCCTCTTGTGTCTCATTTTCCTAATAGGAAATGGCAAGAGGCTAGTCAGCAAATCCAGACATTGCAAGCAAGCCAGTCCCTCCTTGCAGAATATGAACAGAAGATTAAGGTGAGAAACTCTGTGGCCTATATAAAGCTTTAGTTTTAATTTTTTTTCCATGGAAGAACAGAACTGTTTTTTTTTTTTAAAAAAAAAAATTACTATTGCAGAAATAAAAGGTTAGTTTGTCATATAAGAATCTGATCAGGTGGCCAGCAAGAGCTTGAAGTTAGCTAAATTCAATTGGATGCACCAGGCTACCTACAATTATCCCTAACAGGACAGTCTTCACCTTTGTTGTATCAATTGATTGGAAAAAAAATCCACCCATGCTTTCTGTACAGAGAGGTCATTTATATCCTTATGCAGCCCTCAGGAGAATGCTCTATTTGATCTTGTGCTGGAGAACAAGATTGCTCTGCAAAACATTGCTTCTGGAGCAGTCTTTTTTCAGATGGTGGAGGATGAACCTACCAGCTACAGTTACTTTTCTGTTTCCCAGAAAATCCTTCTTCTGGAGTTGGACTTAGCTCTTTTAGAAAGTGCATTTGCTTGCAAAGCTTTCAAAACCACACTGACTTAAATGTGATTATAGAGGTGCTTTATGTCCTTTCAAATTAACATGTGGGTTGGTGGCAGTGTATCTCTTTTCATTTGTTTTATCTTCCTGGGAGAGGTAAATGTGGAGAGTTACTTTGGTTTGAGCAGGTGCTGATTGTGGCGTTGCCTGTGGTTGCTGTAAGTAAAGCTACGCTGGAAGCCAGCCTCATTGCCAGTTCTGTGATTGCTGGAAGGCACTTCCTCCATTGAAAGGAAGGGTCAGGAAACAACATATCAGGCTGCAATACAGCTCTAAATACATTTTTTTTTTGAGGGGGGAAAAAAAAAAGCAACGTTTACCATAATGCTAAAATGCACATTTGTGTTTCTTTTCATTCCTAATACTTGCAGGCCATCCAAGTGCCCCTTTCTGCACTTCATTGATAGAGGGATAGAGGACAAGAAAATCACAGATTTGGTTTAGTCAATAGAAGAAGGTCCTTTTAATGATTAGCAGAGATCTTTTTTGTTATGAACTTAAGGTAAACAGGTGTAGAGAAGAGGCCAACCCAGGTGTTATAAGTGGAATGAGAGTCATCCCTACTTTGAACAATGGATTGGACCAGGTGACCTAGTGAGTTCCCTTCCAGCTTCATTCCAGTCATTGAATCGAGTTTAAAAATTACAATGGAGAAGTAGCTGTTATGAGTTCCAAGTTAAGCATTGCTGTCCTCTTGTCATCCCGTGTTTTCCAGGATCTTGAACAGAAGTTGTCCCAGCAGGAACATGATGCTCTAATTGTCAAGAACATGAAGGCAGAACTGGCCCGTTTCCCAAAAATGGAGAGGGAATTGCGCCAACTCAGGGAGGAAAATGCTTACTTCAGGTGAAAGGAGGATTCAGTTGTTGAGAGGGTTATCTCGTGCTCTTCTGTACCTGCTACACTTGCACTATATGCACTTTCAAATCCCTCTGTTGGGCTTCAGTATGGGAAACTTTAGAAGGAAGTTTAAATATTTCATATAAATACTGCATATGAATTGAGCAGTGTTGTGATGGTTACTAGATGAGAGGATTTGACAAGATCTGGGTAATCTTCCAGGTTGTGTATTGATCATTCTGGATGGTGATACCTATTTGTTAGAACAAAATTCAATGTTTAAAGATAGTGATGAACTCTGTATAGGTTTGGGAAAGAAATCCCTGTAGAGGAAAGAGACAGCTGAACATTTCTGTAATAACTACTTTTGCTTAGTTATTGTTACCACTGTTTTAAAGGCTTGTTGTTCCAGCATGATGTTTGGAAAGTCTTTTGTTTAAATTTCTAAAGCACTCTGATCTAGCCCTCAGAAGAGCAGACTTTCTGGATTTCTGAACTGACAATTTGAAAAATTAAATTCCTATGTAGTATGAAATAACTTTCCGTAAAGATTTTTTTTTTTTTTTTTGAGAGTAAACTTAATTTCCATCTTTTGGTGCATCTTTTTTTTTTTTTTTTTTTTTTTAAAAAGCGCCTAAATTACATGAGTGGTCTTGCCAGCTTTTTCTTATTCTAAAATTAAATAATTTTACTTGGCTTTTGTTCTTGTTGGTGTTTCATTATCATTTTAAATTGTTTATCTTGGAATCTTTTCTCATGCTTGCTTTTTGTACACAGAAGCATGATATCAACAGATTAGAGTTCATATTTCTTTTGAAACTGTTTTATCTCACCCTTGCACACCTCTGTTAAAGTAAAAAGAAGCAGTCTTGGTGCTTACTCAGTCATCACGGAGTACTCGGAAGGCCCAAGTGTCTACCACTTGCTGTGTTCCAGCCCTGCATCCAGCCTGACTGAAGGTCAGAGTTGGGAGTCTTTTGGTACCCTTTGTGCTGTTTTGCCAATCAGCAGAGCAGGTACAAAACTTCAGGTTGTTTGGACACAATTAGGACGGCACTGAGAGTAGAAAAAAATCAATAAAGCTGCAGGTTTTTTTGCTCAGTGGCTTTGCAGGGAAGGTTACAGAAATGAGTCAGTTCAATGTCATAATGTCTGTTCAATGTCATTTGATTCTCTTGTAATTCCATGTGTGTCTGGAAGTTTGTGAGAGTGAATTGAGTTGCGTGGCTCTTTAATCCTTGTTTCTTTCTTTACCATAGGGAAATGAAAGAAAACAACGGATTGCTTAAAGAGGAGGTAGAAGGTCTTCAAAGAAAACTGGAACGCTATGAGAAAGTCCAAGCACAGCTAGTGACTGTTGAATTGGAAAATGAGGTGAGGAGCCAGAAATATTTGGTGAATGAGCAGAGTAGGGGTTTCCTTTGTTGCCTGTCCTGTCTTTTAGGCTATTCCTGTGTTGTTAGTTGAGATGCAATACCTGGTTTAATTAACGTTCAAACCAGGTGTTCCCAAACTTAAATGTCAGCATGAGAGGAGCTATAGCAATGAAGGTGGAAAAAGCAAAAGGATATCTGCTGTTCAGCTGGAGATTTTCTGTAAAGAACTGTTTAATCATAGTGTCTTTTTTGGCCTTGCTGATTCTCTTTTACCTTTCTTCTGCTGCAAATGGTTTTTTTTTTGGTGTTAAGCTCTGCCCAGGCATGGTGTTGCCGAATAGGCGTGTGGTAAGAACCTTGATACATACTTGGATTACTGCCAATGTTAACATGGCCAGAATAAAATTGTCTTGCTTCCATCCCACCCTGTGTCAAGCATACAATGAGCTGTCAGGAGATTAACCTAAATGTGTAAACTTGTTGATCTGCAGAACTAGACTGGTGTCTGATCAGGTTCAGATAGTAATATCTGATATTGATGAAAAATAAAGAGCTATAGGAGGAACTGGAAGAGGAGAAACGGGCACTTCAGCTGCTACAGGACTGGTGTTGAGGGTACAACTTTTGTTCTCTGCTGCCAAGAGTCTAACCTACCAAGGTCTAGTACAGTGATGGTATCTCACAGGGTTAGATAATCATAGAATGGTTTGGGTTGGAAGGGACCTTAAAATCATCCAGTTCCAACCCCCCTGCCATCAGCAGGGACACCTTCCACTAGACCAGGTTGCTCAAAGCCTCATCCAAGCTGCCTATATAATCTGTAGTGCTGAAGGGTAACATGGATTTTGTGTGTCCTAGAACTGTGGTGACAGGAAAAAGGTTTGTGAGAGTTGGAGAATGACAACCCAAAATTGCTAGATAAAAAGATAATAAAATCCACAAGAGGAAAAGGAAAGACACTGAGTTTGAATGGAGAATTTTGGGAAAACTGTGTGGAAAATGAGCTGTTACAACATTGTCTGTGTCTCTAACTATTCTTTTGATCTCTCCTTTAGAAACTTCTGGGAAAATTAAAAAGCTGGGAAAAACTGGATCAAAGCACTGGCTTGAATATCAGGTATGTGCTCACAGCTCTGGTGGTAAAAATTTTAGACTACTTTTCTTTCCTCTTCATCATCCAGTACCTGAAGTCTGTTGGTGGTGCTTTCTTGCTCTCTGTTCATATGGAAGCTCTTCCAGTACTTTTTATTATATATGAGCAGAACCATAAGATACAAACTACTATAAAGTGTCTTTGGGAACTAACAAGTGTTTTTCATAAGTCAGCTTGACCAGTGTCTCTGAGGCCAAAGTTAAAAATTGAGTTCTTTGAACTCTGCTTTGCACGTAGCTACATTCATGTTTAGTTAGAGATTCTACTAGCTTAATAAGTGAACTTTTAAGAATTTTAGGATATGTCCAGAGAAGACAATGTGTGTTAACTTGCGACAAAGTGTTGTAAATGTGATTTCTTTGAAATCTGGGTATCAAAATAAACTACTAGATCGTGTTGTTGTGACTTTTCTTCTTTAAAGTAGCTGAAGAACTGTTGTTAATTTAGTTATTTTGTCCAACAAGAGAAATGGAATAAACTTGGTTTCTTATAAAAGAGGGAAAAATATACCCTCAACTCTCCAGTGGTGTTTTGTAACACCAACCAGTCTCTTTCTGTACTGTTACTTAACAACTCTTTATGACATCTCGAGCACTGAACCAGATTTTTTAAGGTCTCTGGTATGTATGTAGTGTAAAGAGGGACTGGAAATGGTGCATCTTCTGTTTTTTTTTCTTCCACTGGAGAAAGTTTTCTGTTTAGCTACAATGCTTTTGTGTGTCATATGTTTCAGCACCGCTTTATTTTCTCTAAATATTTAGATTGCTGTTGTGCTAGAAGGAGAGATGCTTCTTTGTAAATAACTGTCTTGGTATGAGCTTTATTGTACAGATCACCTTTCGTATTGGATCAAGGCCTGAGCTGCAACATGAACCGCAGAGCCTCATTTTACCAGATGATTCTTTATTCCATTCATTACACATGCCCAACAGCAGAGCTGTGTCTGCACACTGCTGGGATGGATTATTTGGAAGTAGGAGTGTTTGGATGTGCACATATGGTTTGGGCTCGTTACTGCTTCATGTAAAAGATACTTGTGTTTGATTTGGGAAAGCCCCCTTAATTTTCTCAATGTTTTCTGTTTAATGAGGATAATGAACCTTTTTCTAGAGGCATGCTAGTAGCAGGTAGCATGCTTGGGATTCTCTCCAGCATCTGCTGAGGATTCATGCATTTAGACCAAGTTAGAATTGTGCTGAATCTATGGCAAGGAATGGACAAAAATAGTATGAATCCTTCTCACAAAACCTGTTCTATCAGACAGTGGAGTAAAAGCTTTTTACTTACCTCAAGCTGTTAAAGGTTTAATGAGGTAATTTCACAGTGGGAGAGAAATGGAACCAAGTGATTCTGCCTGTTGAAGTCTAATAACTCCCTCATTTAAAATCAGAATATTCACTGCAAAGTGTTAGGTTTTTGATTGGGCCATATTGTTTAGTGCTATTGATGGCGTCTTCTCATACAGAAAAAGGAACTGCTTTTGAGAAAAATCATCTTTTGCATGCAATTGTAGTGAGTGGAACTGGATCATTTCCCCCTCCCTCTTTTTTTCTTTTTATGTTCAGGCTTCTTACAGCATGAATTATGTTAATTTTTTGTCAGGGTTATGAAGATGATGAGAGATCATTGTCCTAGTTAGCTTCCTGGAGTATGCTGTTGGTGAAAGTTTGAGAAGAGTTAATTGCTCATCTCATAGTAGAAAAAAGTAGAAACAAGTTGGATGGTTGTCCCCCAAAGAGCCAGAGCAATGTGCTGTTTGCTAATAACTAGATAAGCAAGGAAAAAGGGAATGTGTTAGGATTTCTCATCTTTTCTTATCACGTTCTTCACTGGTGCAGAGAACGTGAGGGGAGCGCGTACAGCGCGTGGTGTTTTAGGGGAGGATGGTTTTTCATTTCCTCCAGCACTTCCACAGGGCTTGTTCTGCGTCTGCTCTCGGTGGTTTCTGTTCACTGATTGCTTGGTCCCAGCAGGCTTTTTGTCAGATTGGCTTCTGATCAGACCTACAAGTGTAATTTCAAGTGTAATTTTATGTAATGATACTTGGAAAGGAGGTGCAGCTTTTAGGAGTGGAGTGGTAATCCTACTGTTTTAGCACAGATATCTTTTTGGTAACTGTGAAAGAGCTCAGTGTTTATAAAACTTCACCTTTTGGGGTAAAAACAAGATCATTGACAATTTACTTACAGGCTAATCTTATGTTTGCTAGATCTGGATTCCACTTGTAAGCTCCTGGGTTTTCCACTTGCTCTCATAAACTCTGGAAACAAAGACAGCTTTAGCTCTAGAGCATGTTGATGTGTTTGCATTGCTGTTGTGCAGAGTTCTTTCTAGAATTTACCCTTAGAATTACACCTGCCTTACACAAACATTATATAATATACCTGTAAACTGCACAGTGCCAAGATTAAAATAAAACACACCATAGTTATGTCTGGTTCATGTATACACATTATGAATCTACAGAATCTTTTTTTATATTCAATTATATGTCCTTTTGATATCTTGATTCCTTACTGCCTACCTTCTGATATAGTTGGCTCTGTCTTTTATTGTGGATGTACCTTTGTTGTGTAGGTCTTTTTTGTATGTTACTGTTATGCTGCCAGGGATTTTCATACATTGGTCATGTGTCACTGACTCAGTATTCCTACTGTAGGATTTGGTTTCAACTTTAAAATAAAAAAAACACTAAATTTTTAAATTCTTGCTTTGTGAGTAGAAAGTCTTATTTATTTCAGAGTTTACTGTCTTTGAGATGGATATTAATGTATGGCTATTGTAGGCCTTTGTTATTAGGAAAGAGCTGTGTTGAGAAAACAAGCTTCTTGTACTCTGTCTCTCCAGGGTGTGCTGATGTAGTTTATATTTCTTCAAAATACAGTATTTGTGTAACTGAGTAGTTGACCATCTTCACTGAAGAACCATGTTAATTGTGACACACTTGGTTGTTTTTTCAGAGTTAGACTATTAGTTTAGAGATATTTTCCAGGTCATTTCTTAACTGCCACTAAACAATGTGTATTTTAACAGAAAAATATTTCTGGAAGGCTGTGTGTGAGAGAAGTTGTGCGTTTTATTTGGCTGACAGCGAGCAAAAGCATCCACGAGATGGCATCCTTTCTCCTGCTGCTGGGGAAACTGGGTTTCTGCTCCAGTCTGGCAGGCTCAGTCTGAGGTAAAAAATGTCAGCTGGGCACCTTAAGAAGGGTCAGCTAGTCTAATGAAAATTGTTAGTTGTTGTTATCAAATCTTTTTAGAATCTGTTTAACTCTACATGGATGCAATCACTCTCTCCTTGTCCAGTAGTTAGGGTAGTAACTCGATATGAAAAAGACTCGTACATATTTCTCTAATGACATAAAAGCAGAGTGTGTTTCCAGCCATCTCTGTAACCTTCATATTTACACCACACATTCTTCATTTTGTCCTATTTACTAGGAGCTGTTCAAAGCCTGAAGCCTGGTTCTTTTCTCCCCACCCCAAGCCATAGCATTGCATCCTTAAAAGCAGCACTGCTACTGTTCTGACTTTTCCTTCTGTGGCATGTAGAAGATACCCAAAACTAAAATGAAGGTTCTTGTTCTGTGAGCTTTTACTCTAAATAAGCCTTTTTTTTGCTGCTGCTTGTCTATATTTGGCTGGCATCGCCTTTGTCCTCTAATGACTTAGCAAGGTGATGTTGTTGTCCATAAACAGATACACCCTTGAGTACTAAATGATGCAAAATTATGTGTATCAGGTATGTTTTAAAGATGAGGCGGTTAGTAAATCAGATGCTGAAGATACTGCTAGTCATTGATAGCAGCTGACAAGGGTTAATGCTGAATTTGTCTTTGTATTTATCCAGAAGTGGCAGAAGAATACAAAGTTTGTAAGGTTGCAGTTTAGCTGAAAAGTTAAGCAAATTTGTGAAGACTGACAGGAGAACCACAAGCAACAGCTTCAGGGGAGTTTTAGTCCAAGCTTTTTTCTTTTTTTTGAGAGAAAGAGTAAGTAGTAATGTGTGATGTGGGGTTTGGTGTGTGGTTTTTTTAATTAGTATTTTGGTTTTAGGTTTTTAATTGGAAGCAGTGACTAGATGAAGTTTCTACATTTTCACCTGCTGGTTCAGAAATCTTTGTATACACAGCAGAATTTATATCAGTGATAGATTTTTGATGTTAGAGTAATTAAGGTTTGGAAGGCCATCAAATATATTGAAAATGACCTATTTAAGTAGGTCTTTCCTTTTTGGGGCACCATTTTCTGTTGCAAATAGTACTGTCAGCTCTGGCTCAGTGTTCGTGTGTGGAAGATAAATCAGAATATTTTGTTCATGCTACTTCTCAGGATCATTTTCCTTTTTTCCAAGCCCATCACAGGGAAGCAATGGAGAGATCAGCTGTCCTTTTCTGAAGGACCACGGAATCCAGTATGGAAATAAAAGCTGGGGCTGCCATATCAGAAAGAAAAGTAACCTGCTTGGACTCTTCTGTGTTGTTCAGAGGCTCCAGTCATGGTCTTGGATGTTGTTGAATCGCATCTAACTGCGGTTATACTGGAAGGCAGGTCTCAGGCCCCTGATACCTGCGGTGCAAGGCTGACCTGGAGGGACTCTTAGGTTTAATGAAGCGTGGGTTTGAAGAGCACCTATAGTTGTCCTTCAATTTGCAAGGGTAAATTTAGTTGGCTTCAGTGATGATATGGCATTAAGCTGCTGTAGCTGTTTCTCATGCTTGCTGTCCAGGCCTGTAAAGAGAAGTGCAGATTTGACAGGAATTCAGGCCAGTGCTTAAGGACCGTTTTCACTTAGTGGAGCCTGGCAGCTGCAGACAGCAGCCACTGATCTGCTGACCTGTCGCCTAGAGCCAAAGAAGTGAACCTCTTAATGCTGACCTGGTTTTCTTCCTGAAACATCTGTGGGCTGGCTGGCTGGCTGACAAATCTTGGGGACTAGCTTCCTGCAGTGTCTGAGACCAATT